TGACAGTTGAAAAATGGCAGTATTTTTTGACAGTTGGAAAAATGAACAGTTGGAAAATGGCAGTTAATTTTTGACAGTTGGAAAATGACAGTTGGAAAATTGCAGTTATTTTTGACAGTTGGAAAATGGCAGTTATTTTTGACAGTTGGACAAAAATGGCAGTTATTTTTGACAGTTGGAAAATGGCAGTTATTTTTGACAGTTGAAAAATGGCAGTTATTTTTGACAGTTGGAAAATGACAGTTGGAAAATGACAGTTATTTTTGACAGTTGGAAAATGGCAGTTGGAAAATGACAGTTGAAAAATGGCAGTTATTTTTGACAGTTGGAAAATGACAGTTGGAAAATGACAGTTGAAAATGACAGTTATTTTTGACAGTTGGAAAATGGCAGTTATTTTTGACAGTTGGAAAATGGCAGTTATATTTTTTTACAGTTGAAAAATGGCAGTTATTTTTGACAGTTGGAAAATGACAGTTGGAAAATGGCAGTTATTTTTGACAGTTGGAAAATGGCAGTTGGAAAATGGCAGTTGAAAAATGGCAGTTATTTTTGACAGTTGGAAAAATGGCAGTTATTTTTGACAGTTGGAAATGGCAGTTATTTTTGACAGTTGGAAAATGACAGTTGGAAAATGGCAGTTATTTTTGACAGTTGGAAAATGACAGTTGGAAAATGGCAGTTATTTTTGACAGTTGGAAAATGACAGTTGGAAAATGGCAGTTATTTTTTTGACAGTTGGAAAATGGCAGTTATTTTTGACAGTTGGAAAATGGCAGTTGGAAAATGGCAGTTATTTTTGACAGTGGAAAATGACAGTTGGAAAATGGCAGTTATTTTTGACAGTTGGAAAATGGCAGTTATTTTTGACAGTTGGAAAATGACAGTTGGAAAATGACAGTTATTTTTGACAGTTGGAAAATGACAGTTGGAAAATGACAGTTATTTTTTGACAGTTGGAAAATGACAGTTGGAAAATGACAGTTATTTTTGACAGTTGGAAAATGGCAGTTATTTTTGACAGTTGAAAAAAGGCAGTTATTTTTGACAGTTGGAAAATGACAGTTATTTTTGACAGTTGGAAAATGACAGTTGGAAAATGACAGTTGGAAAATGGCAGTTTATTTTGACAGTTTGAAAATGACAGTTTGAAAATGGCAGTTATTTTTGACAGTTGGAAAATGGCAGTTGGAAAATGGCAGTTATTTTTGACAGTTGGAAAATGACAGTTGGAAAATGGCAGTTATTTTTGACAGTTGGAAAATGGCAGTTGGAAAATGGCAGTTATTTTTGACAGTTGGAAAATGACAGTTATTTTTGACAGTTGGAAAATGACAGTTGGAAAATGGCAGTTATTTTTGACAGTTGGAAAATGACAGTTATTTTTGACAGTTGGAAAAATGGCAGTTATTTTTGACAGTTGGAAAATGGCAGTTATTTTTGACAGTTGGAAAATGACAGTTGGAAAATGGCAGTTATTTTTGACAGTTGGAAAATGACAGTTGAAAAATGGCAGTTATTTTTGACAGTTGGAAAATGGCAGTTGGAAAATGGCAGTTATTTTTGACAGTTGGAAAATGACAGTTATTTTTGACAGTTGGAAAATGGCAGTTATTTTTGACAGTTGGAAAAATGGCAGTTGGAAAATGACAGTTGAAAAATGGCAGTTATTTTTGACAGTTGGAAAATGGCAGTTGGAAAATGGCAGTTATTTTTGGCAGTTGGAAAATGGCAGTTATTTTTGACAGTTGGAAAATGACAGTTGAAAAATGGCAGTTATTTTTGACAGTTGGAAAATGACAGTTGGAAAATGACAGTTGGAAAATGGCAGTTATTTTTGACAGTTGGAAAATGACAGTTGGAAAATGGCAGTTAGTTTTGACAGTTGGAAAATGACAGTTGGAAAATGGCAGTTATTTTTGACAGTTGGAAAATGGCAGTTGGAAAAGTTGACAGTTGAAAAATGGCAGTTATTTTTGACAGTTGGAAAATGGCAGTTGGAAAATGGCAGTTATTTTTGACAGTTGGAAAATGGCAGTTATTTTTGACAGTTGGAAAATGACAGTTGAAAAATGGCAGTTATTTTTGACAGTTGGAAAATGACAGTTGGAAAATGACAGTTTGGAAAATGGCAGTTATTTTTGACAGTTGGAAAATGACAGTTGGAAAATGGCAGTTATTTTTGACAGTTGGAAAATGACAGTTGGAAAATGGCAGTTATTTTTGACAGTTGGAAAATGGCAGTTGGAAAAATGGCAGTTATTTTTGACAGTTGGAAAATGGCAGTTATTTTTGACAGTTGGAAAAGGACAGTTGGAAAATGGCAGTTATTTTTGACAGTTGGAAAATGGCAGTTATTTTTGACAGTTGGAAAATGACAGTTGGAAAATGACAGTTATTTTTGACAGTTGGAAAACGACAGTTGGAAAATGACAAAACCAATATGACCACTCTAATTGCGGACAATAGGGCGCGACTTGCATGCTATTTGCAAGTCACATAGCATGCAAATTGCATGCCATTTCGCATCCAGTGTGACCGGGACTTAATCTCAATTTTTTAACATCACCACTGAACTTTGGAGAGTTTTGTCTGCTAAGGATTTTATGTGATATGTCTAATGGGTTCTCATTCCATTATTCTCTATGGGCATTCCCTTCTGTTCCATTGTTCCATTTCTCTATGGGCATTCCCTTCTGTTCCATTATTCTCTATGGGCATTCCCTTCTGTTCCATTATTCTCTATTCTCTATTCTTCTGTTCCATTATTCTCTATGGGCATTCCCTTCTGTTCCATTATTCTCTATGGGCATTCCCTTCTGTTCCATTATTCTCTATGGACATTCCCTTCTGTCATGCCTTTTAGTAGGTGACCTTTTTAACATTTAACACATTTCTGTTTGTAATGTGTGTTATATGTAATATAGCATCCATTTATATTTACAAATATAAATTAAACTGTTAACTGTTAACCCAGGACCCTGTATCCACTATATCTGGTCTCCCACAGTGCACAAAACATGGAATGCAATTATTTTAGTAAACATAAACTGCTAAATACCTTTTCTCATCAGCAGTTAGAGCAGTCTTGTGACTTCTATCAGTGTCCAGCAGAGCACTAGTTAAAAGCTTGTTGAAGTTTTCATTCTCCCCCATGAGGCTGCAGGACCCCTGACCCTTTGTCTGGACAGTGCTGATTGGCCCTGTGCTAATCACATGCACTCTCCTAAGAAAAAAATACTCTCTAGCAATACACACCAACCTGAGCATGTGCAGTTTATCTCCAAGCCTCTGTTGTAATAGGAGTTATATTGGGGACAGAAAAGGAAGGGAGGATCAGAGAAGACAGGATCAAATATCCTTTTTACACAATACAGTCAGGTCCATAAATATTGGGACATCGACACAATTCTAACATTTTTGGCTCTATACACCACCACAATGGATTTGAAATGAAACGAACAATATGTGCTTTAACTGCAGACTGTCATCTTTAATTTGAGGGTCTTTACATCCAAATCAGGTGAACGGTGTAGAAATTACAACAGTTTGCATATGTGCCTCCAACTTGTTAAGGGACCAAAAGTAATGGGACAGAATAATAATCATAAATCAAACTTTCACTTTTTAATACTTGGTTGCAAATCCTTTGCAGTCAATTACAGCCTGAAGTCTGGAATGCATAGACATCACCAGACGCTGGGTTTCATACCTGGTGATGCTCTGCCAGGCCTCTACTGCAACTGTCTTCAGTTCCTGCTTGTTCTTGGGGCATTTTCCCTTCAGTTTTGTCTTCAGCAAGTGAAATGCATGCTCAATCGGATTCAGGTCAGGTGATGGACTTGGCCATTGCATAACATTCCACTTCTTTCCCTTAAAAAACTCTTTGGTTGCTTTTGCAGTATGCTTTGGGTCATTGTCCATCTGCACTGTGAAGCGGCGTCCAATGAGTTCTGAAGCATTTGGCTGAATATGAGCAGATAATATTGCCCGAAACACTTCAGAATTCATCCTGCTGCTTTTCATTCTCCCCCATGAGGCTGCAGGACCCCTGACCCTCTGTCTGGACAGTGTTGATTGGCCCTGTGCTGATCTCTCTAGCAATACACAACAACCTGAGCATGTGCAGTTTATCTCCAAGCCTCCAATCCTTTTTACACAATACTGTATGGAGGATTAACCCTTTAGGTTCCACAGTGAATATAACAAGCATGCTTTACTGCATATACAGACTGATTTTACTATTGTGGGTTTAGTAACACTTTCATTCTGTAAAATATAAACTTAGTGTCAATACACATGAACATGAATATTAACCACTTGCCCTCCAGAGGATGTATCCCTCTTCCTGACCAGGCCATTTATTGTGATACGATACTGCGTTATTTTAACTGACAATTGCGCGGTCATGCAATGCTGCACATAAATTACATTTATGTCCTTTTTTTTCCCACAAATAGAGCTTTCAGTGGTATTTGATCGCCTGTGCGTTTTTTAATTTTTTGCTGTATAAACAAAAAAAGACAGACAAAAAAAACAATATTTTTGACTTTTTGCTATAAAACATATCCAATAAAAAAATTTACAAAATCTAATTTTGCCATAAATGTAGGCCAAAATGTATTCTACTCTATGTCTTTGCCAAAACAAAATCCCAGTACATGTAAATTCATTGGTTTACGTGAAAGTTATAGCGTCTACAAATGGCAGTATATATACTGGAACTTTTTTACTAGTAATGGTGGCGATCAGCGACTTATAGCGGCACTGCGGGACTGCAGTGGGCATTCTGACACTGCATGGGAACTGACTGCCACTGACACCTCCAGTGACTCTAATACAGTAATGAGTGCTAATAAAAAGCACTGATACTGTACTAATCACACTGGGCTGGACGGGGTTAACTTTTGTGCTGTGTTTGTTTTACTGTGTGTGCTGTGTCCTGTTTTACTATGGAGACATACTGCTTTGTAGTTCTCTGCTGTGCAGAAAAATACAAAGCAGCATGCCCTTGGTGGCAGGAGAGAGTCCTGTGTTGTTTACACACAGGTCTCTCCCCTGTCAGCTTTACAAGGTGATCACCGGGTGCCGGCGGGGAATCTCCAGCCAGGATCCAGTGATTCACATCCCTAGCCTCCAATGGCGCGCCCCCTACCCAGAATTGCAAATCACGTATGTATATATGTGATTTTGCGCAGCCCTGCCGCCCTGTAGCAGTACTTCTGCTAAAGGGAGGCGGGCAAGCAGTTACAATATGTCAAACTGTGTTCTTGTCTCCAAACAGTAAATTTACAAAGCAAGGTACTGACTTGTCTCTTAGTTATATTTAATTCTCATATGAAATATGAAAGGCAAACATGGAAAGAAAGTGCAGTCTAATCTAGACTTCTGCATGCTGGAAATTTTTGTTTTGTTTTATTTCGGATGCCTACGTTTTGTTTTGTTATATTCGTTATGTTGAACCAATTAATTTTCGGAATTTGTTTCATATTTTCAGTATTCGTTTCATATATTCGTTATTCTGGGTGAATTTTAAAAATTTAGCAGCTTTTTTTTGAAGATTATAGTATAGTTTTCAGGTTTCAATATTACAGGTGGATTTGTTATTCATATATCAAAACTATTCAATATTTTCGGAATAAATATAATGCAAAATTTGGCGGCCTCTAATTTTTCAAACCTAAAAATTGCATTAGACTGTGGAACTGAATTGACTAACTGTGACAATTACAAATTCAATTTAAATCACAAATTTAATTGAATCCGAATTATCGAACAAATTTGATAATTGAAATAATTTCCCCATAGGCCTGAACTACTATTGCATTATGTGACGTCATCCAAATGTAAACAAAACAGTTCTCTCCCCTGTCAGCTACTGCACACTGCAAAGCAGTGTTCTTACATTGAAGCACAAACACAGCCACATAGTAAAACACACACAGCACACAGTTAACCCTTTGATCACCCCACATGTTAACCCCTTCCTGCCCAGTGCCATTAGTACAGTGTCAGTGCTTTTTAATAGCATTGATCACTGTATTGGTGTCACTGGGGATGTCAGTGACATCAAGTCACTTCCCCGCAGTGTCAGAATGCCCGCTGCAGTCCCGCTTTAAGTCGCTGATCGCCACCATTACTAGTGAAAAAAAAACAATTAATTTACACGTATTGCAATTTTTTTTTTAGCAAAGATGTAGCAGAATACATTTTGGCCTAAATTTATGATGAAATTTTATTTTTAGGTTTTTTTTACCAGACATGTTTAATAGCAAAAAGTAAAAAATATAGTTTTTTTTCTCAAAATTGTCGGGTTTTTTTTTATAGCCCAAAAAATAAGAAAAGCACAGGCAATCAAATACCACCGACAGAAATTTCCCTGTACTATCTTTCAGATGTGAAACAGCGCGGCCATACGGGGCTCTGCCCACACGACCGCATCACTACACGACCGGGCCTACACTCCCACACAGCCTTAGCGGCTGTCGGCTTGTAGTTTTCAATGAACTACCACAGTGCTGTGGAGCGCCATGGTAGTTCATTGAAGCTTCCTGTCAGTATATCTGCTTGCTTGTAAATCCCGTAAGGCAAGCAGATAATCTGAAAGGTCTGCAGGAGACCTGCATAGCATCAGTGATCTACTGATCGCTGGTGCAATGCTTTACAGACTCCTTTGGACAAAAATAACAAATGTACATTTTTTCACCTGCAGAAAAAATTTGCATTTATTATTTTTGTCCAAAAGGTGAACTTATCCTTAAGAGTCGGTTCACACCATAGAAATGCAGTCCAGATGCGTTCCGGATGCGTTTCCGCATGCACGTTTTTGACTTGTTTTTGGTGTGTTCTGGTGCGTTTTTGATGCTTTCCAGTTAATTTTTCCCCCTCTCTTTTTCTTCAATATAAATAGGGACATGTGTGTTCCAGTGCATTTTTGGTGCGTTTTTTATGTGTTTTACCGCTTTCTAGAGCAGTTCTGTGCAGGAAAAATGCAGCATGTTCTACTTTTTTTCTGAAACCGGAACGCGCTGGAAATGCAAGCACTGATGTGAACTATGACATTGACAACCATATAATCTACTTTCTGTGCGTTTTGGATGCAGAAAAAAGCACACTGAAATGCATGTAGCGTGAACTGGCTCTATAGTAGAAGTACTGCAAAAGCACTGACACTGTACTATGACACTGGGCAGGAAGGGGTTAACATCTGGGGTGATCAAAGGGTTAACTGTGTGCTGTGTGTGTTTTACTATGTGTGCTGTGTCCTGTTTTACTATGGAGACATACTGCTTTGTAGTTCTTTGCTGTGCAGAAAAATACAAAGCAGTGTACGGGAGCTGCCAGGGGAGAGATCTGTATTGTTTACATACAGACGTCTTCCCTGTCAGTGTTATTTGGCGATCATCAGGTGCCGGGACCCAGTGATCAGCAGCTGATGGCGCCCCCACCTGGAAATGCGAAATCACGTATATATATTTATATATATATTAATATAGTATTTCTGCTATAGGGCGGCAGGCAAGCGGTTAATGACACAATATTTATATTCAGCACAACATTTTTTGGTATACTAAGAAAATACAATATGCTTTGACATGGGATTTTTAAGTCAGCTTGAATGGGTACATCTTGTTTCTTCCATATGTGGCATCTCACTGTGATTTGCATACACGCAGCCTGCATTGTGTTGATCTGGCCCACTACACTATGCCGCTAACTAACAAATGGATCACATACACCATGGCCAATATTCAGCATTGTCTGGTAGAAAGGCAAGACTTCTCCCATGCTTAAGAAACCCTTTTCCCATTATTTGGCAGCTTACATATGACTTCTGTAAATCTAAGGATAAACCATCCCAGAGTCCTACTGCACCATAATTGCTCCAACACCTTTTTCCACACTTAGCTGCCCTCTCTAATAGTTTTTGTCTCATAAACTCTGTGTCTAACCAGCTTCTCTTTATACGTACTAATTGCCTTCTTAGAGATCTGCATATAATCATGTGTCTTTAATAAGCACATTTTGTCTTCATTCAGTTAATTAGTTTTTTAACTTCATATATGAATAGAAAAGAAAAGTGCAGTCTATGTTCAAAGACACAGACTATATATTTATATTTTTAGCTGCCTAGAAGTACATGAAATATCCTGGAAAACACTGTGCAGAACATGCAAAGACTAACGTGTAACCCCCCCTTCTCTTTCCAACCTCCCAAAATTGTACAGATTTACAACTTAAAGAATATGTCAACCCAAAATCTCATATTCCAGGTATGAGCCTCCCATACCATGTACTTGCATAAACCTGTATCCTATTCTCTTCGTGTGGTGAAATACCTGGTGTCCGTGCCAGTACCTCTGCATTACTATTAAAAACTGACCACTCTAGGCATGAGAGAACATCGTGGTCTGTTTTTTTTTTAGCTGTGCTAAGCACTCAGCCTGCTCTCCTCCAATGATCAGACTTGTGCTGACACGCCCCTCCCCTTATACTGCCACTCACTGGGAAAATCTGTGTGTTGCTGCTTCTCCTCCCCCATCTCTCAGCTCCTTGTACAGCTGAGAACAGAGGGTATGTGATCATTTAGAAAAAGGGTAAAAAAAGGTATGTATATATTTATTTATATATGCACAAATGTTTTGCCTTTCATGTTTATTTTAAGGAGACCATTGTACCCACCTGATGTATGATATCTATATATGCTTTCCCTGTAAGTCAATTGTTTCCCTCACTTCGAAGCTATGCATCTGTATTTTTATTTGCAAATTCCTCATAAACAGTTTAAACAAATGATTTAACCACATTCTGAAATTATCTTCTAATACCTTACTTTTACCCAGGAGATATTGCTCACAAAGCTGAATTCTTGGCAAGCATATGAAGAAAAGTTAGCACATTTTACAAGTATTCAGCAGGTCTGCCACTGTTATGAAAATCAATTTATATTTCTGGTGACAAAGGCCTACTGAAGCACGACATTGAAAGAATATGTTTCTTGTTTCTGTAATCCATAGCAGACCTTCCTGCAAATGTCTTAGAAAAGAAAATAGGTCTTAGAACATTGAGTTAAGCATTGCAATGTATTACTTGTTTCCTCATAGTTGAACTTGTTATAAATTTTGAAATGGTTGAATTAAGCCAAGTAGAAAAATGCACTCAGTAGATTGCTGAGGGCTAATGTATGTGTAAACCCAATAACTAACACCTCCTATAACCTTTTAACACATTATTTGAAAAATGTTAAATAAGCAGCTTTCATTAAAGTATATATTTGGGCAAAATATAACATTTTATATTAATTCGCACCAGGGTGGATAAAAATCAATGATTTTTTTTAAAAAAATCAAAAAATCTGATTTTTTTTTATTTAAATCAGATTTTTTTGAATAAAATGCTTTTTTGAGGAAAATATATTACCATCCAAAGGTTATTCCATCATGAAATAAAGATTCGTTTTTTCATTATGTAGAATAAGGCTGTATATGTTTAATTTTTTTGGTAAATAAATTCCATTAATCCATTGACAATGTCATGCTCTTCCAGAGGTTTTTGTAAGATTATTGGGCAGTTTCTCTGCCTACAAGATATTATCACAGATGCTTGGTTTACTTTGCAGTTCTCAAAACTGAATTTGACTCAGCGGAGATCACATGCCTCTTCTTCACAGCAAAAATGTTATAACATGAACAGAGTTAAGAAAAAGACCTTAATCCTAACTTCTACAAACCTATGAATACAGAATCAACCCCTTCAGTGCTAAGTTTCAAGAAGTTCAGTGAATAGAATAGAAACAATATTTTTCTGATTGTTTGGAGTGGAATAGATCTGCACAAGAAGAAAGTGAAACTAAGTGTGAGGAGGAAGGGGCTGACAGTCTAAGTTTCTTAAAATATATATATTTTGTTTAGCCAAATTAGTTAACAAACATGGATGCAAATAACATATGCTGTAATGTTATTGTTTCAGTTGAATAAATCTATTTAAATTGTTATTAAGGTAATGATTATTTTTCTCCTTCCTAAGTACAACAGAAAAGTTGTCCAAATATGAATGATTAACCTATTAAACTGGGGATAAAAAAACTAATATGAAAAGTTGTTATTCTAAAAATCTTCATCTACTTGCATATTAAAGTGAGAAGGGGGAGGGATGTAATGTGAGAGCGCGAGCTGTGAGTTGAATGGGCTGTGATGTGAGGGGGGGCTGTGATGTGAGATGGGGGAGCTGTGATATGGGGGAGTTGTGATATAAGAGGAAGCTGTGTGATGTGAGGAAGGGGGAGGGTGGTAATGGGGAGAGCAGCATATGGGGGGAGGGCTGTGATGTAAGAGAGAGCTGTGATATGGGGGGGCTGTGATGTAAGGGGGAGATGTGATATGGGGAGCTATGATATAAGGGGGAGCTGTGATGTGAGAGGGGTGACCTGTGATATTGGGGGGCTGGGATGTGAGAGGGGGGAGCTATAATACAAAGGGTCTGTAGTGTGAGGAGGAGGGCTGTGATTGAAAGGGGGCTGTGATGTGTGGAGGGGGGGAGCTGTGATGTGGGGGTTGTGGTTGTAAGGAGAACTGTGATTTAAACAGGGCTTTAATGTTGGGGGGCTCTGATGGGAAAGGGAGTTGTGATGTACGGAGGTTGTGATGGGAAAGCCCTGAGTCATAGAAGAAAAATGAGATTCGGAGACTCTGAGGAAAGAAAATGTTACCAAACGGACCTCAGTGAATTTTAATTCAGTATCGTACCCTGTGAATAGGAACTGTTGTGTCACAGAGCCTGCCTTCTGAACTACAGAGCTACTGAGAGGAGAAGTTCCATGAGGTGGGGTCAGTACAGGAAACACTGCTTGCAGGCAGCAAGGAACCATGGGATATGTAGTCCTTAGAAGTTGAAAGTAAACGAAAGGAATGAGCAGAGGAGAAGATGTAAAGCAATGCTGGAATCCAGGAAGTCGTAGAAAGAAATGGCCAGTGGATAGACAGAACTTACAACATGAAAGCAGATAATGCAAGTAAGCTTATTTTGGCTTGCCAAAAAAAATATTGTTTGTATTGCTTTTACAATGCTGATGTTAAATGATAATGTATGCTGTGACTATCGATCTTCTTTAAAGAATACCTGTCAAAG